TCTCTTCTTGCAATGGCTCAGGAGGGAAGGGAACGGCCTGAGCTCCCGATCCGAGGCCGGATGCAAGAAATCAGAGGTGGGGGAAGGCGGTCAACCCAGGGGATTCACGGAGCTCCGCCACCGTGCCCCCTCGCCGAAAGGTCTGCAGCAAACTGCATTTGGAGCCGAACAGTGCAAATGCCCCATGCACAGGACAAAAAAAAAAACAAAAAAAAACGCCTTTTCAACGCTCCTCCGCCTCCAAAGCAGCTCTAACATAAGCTGAAATCCTATTTGTAATACAAAAGCCTGAACGAAAACCTCCAGCAGACAGGGCCAGGAGATAAGATAGGAGGGTTCAATGACAGAGCACGAGTTGCACGCCGCGCGTTTCTCACTATCGGCCTTCACCCCGCCAAGGCTCAGCTGCTCCCCTGCTTCGGGACGGCGGCAAAGGGGACCGAGTTTGTGCCATCCTCCGGCAGCTCAGCTCCGTCCCAACCCCGCTGCCACGGCCCGCCGGGAGCAAACCGCCCTGCCGGTATGTCCACATCAATGAAGCATTTGTCTCGTGCTTGGCACCGGGCGTCAGAGCACAAGGGTCCGTGTGCTGGATCGCCTAAACACAGCTATAAATGGAAAGAGGAGCCGCACAGACAGACCGTTCTCTCATTCTGCACGATCTCAAACAGCAGAGTTAACACCCGCGCTGCCCGAGCGGCTACCGAGGAGGAGGGCAGCCGGGTAGGAAGGCTGGCGTATTGCAGGAGAGGCTGATTAGAGAGACTGAGATGCGATTTGGATGCCACGCTGGGTCGAGCTACCCGCCTGCGTCTAGATGGTGCCACCCTTGGCATTGAGCTGGCAGATTAAGGACAGCTGAAAGGAGGAAGGTCGGAGCAAGACGCTTCTTGCGTTCTGGAGAGTCAAGACAAATTCCTCCCCTTTCAGTGATTTTGGAGCTTGGCCAGATGTCCTTCCAGGAGAAAAAAGCTGCTGTGGGCAGGTCTGCAGATGCAAACCCCGCATTGCAAGCCCTGGAAAAGTGTTTTAGCCGATACGACGCTGGCTATTTTTGGAGGCGTTATCTCAAGGCATCGATCACCCACCAGCCCTTTGCAGAGGTGCTGCAGGGCACGTGCCGTGCCGCCGTGCTCACACGCGGCGTGGGCTTCTCCACCCCTGACTTCAGTCACCCGAGCCGGGCGCTGCCGCCCTACCCCAGCCCAGCCTGCCCCGGGCGTAACACCAGGGGTCTGAAAAAAAAAATAGGGAATCACTGGGGCAGAGCCACAGCCACCCCAACGCACGTCTTTCCTAGGAGCAAAGCTCTAGAGCCAAGGCAAAGAGAAGTGCTCGGGCACCCAGCAAGCACCAACACACCCATCAGAGTCCAAATCTCCTCCACCAGATGCTCGGGCACATCCCGACTTGTCCATCACCCTCTGTTCAAAGAGAAAAATAACAACAGACTACAGGCTGTGAGAAAATATACGGGGTTTTTTTTTATTTGACAATTAACAAAAGAGGGATCCAAATCTCAGTTGTAAACATCGATAGCTCCTTTCTGATCACAACTAGTACTTTCCACGAACATCCTTTTGTATAGCCTGATCCGCTCCAACAATGACAAGCCGTCTCTGTCAGGGCTTTTGCTGCTCTGCTCAGGGTCACAAATCCAGAGGCAGCTTATTCACCAGAGCATCAACAGCAACCGGCAGGACCGACCACTAGCTCTGAGAAGATAGCTGGCAAACTAAGCAGATATTTTTAGAGCCACTCCCATATACGAGACGCTCGGGGAAGGCAGGAGCTCCGTGCTGGGTTGTGTGCCAGCAAGAGGCAAGCATCCCATCCCGCTGCCAACAGGTTTCGAGAGAAATCAGCCCTGCAAGGGCAGAGTCCAACTCAAGCAGGCAACAGGGACGCGGTCTTACATGGTGCCAGCCCAGCAAGAGCAACCCAGACCTGTTGTCAAGAGGGAAGCTTGGCCCCGGACCGTAAAAATTTGGAGATGCAGAGCCAGCAAGTTCGTCCCGAAGAGGGACGGGCACGTCATCGGCTCGATCGTTGCAGTGGAACCAGAACTGCCTGTAGCTTGACAAGGGGAAGTGAAACTTCATCTTAGGCTGGAGGGCCGCCAGACTTGGAGGAGCTTGCACCCAGCTACAGGCAGCCAGCTTCCAGCCATCAGATGGGAATCATCTGGCCTGAACATCAGCAGATCCAAGCTTTTTTGGGAAATAAAACTTCCAGGCCTCTCACCCTCCCCCTTTCCAAGAGGAATTGCTCTGCGGGCGGGTCAGCTACACAAAATAAGCAGGTCTTAAAATTGTTCAAGCAACCTTTTGCTGTTCGTGACCATCAGCAGATGAGAATGAAGTCGTGGAAAGCCAGCAGCAGCAGCAGCGAGAGTCTCCCAGTACCGTCCCCAAGACAAGGGACCTCAGATCGCCACCGACACCGAGCGGGCCACCGCATCAGGCCACCCTCCCCCACCAGCAAGTCAAGGAGCCACCAGGAAAAGGGAAGACGCACAACACTAAAGAACAGCGTTATAAATAGAAACCTCCCTCAGCCGCCGGAGTGACCTGCCGACGGCTACACGCTTCCTGGGCTCCGTAGCTGCTTCGGTTCGAGGGACTAAGCAGCCCGACGGACAAGCAGCATTCGGTCAGGTCCAGAGCCAGGATCTGGGCTCGCTCCTCTTGAGGCGACCGGTTGGTTCAGAGCCCGGCTCTCGGTGGGAGTAGGGTCAGCCATCCCAACACCACGCTACCCGGATGGACAAGCAAATAAAAAAAAATCCAACAGATTTGAATACACTGTATTTATTTGTAACAGATTCTAAAGAATCTAGTGAGTCTATGTCAAGCCCATCGCATGACAAGTGATACAGGTGTAGGAAAAAAACATTTAAAACAAAACCAAGTGCCATTCAAGCTACTGGAATCTTCCAATTGCCCCCCCCACAGGAGGCAGCACAGTATCACTGCAAGGTCTAGAAAAATTCAGATTCAACCCATTCACAAGAGTCCCACCACACACACTCCGTAAATCAAAAGTGCAATCTCAACGTAAGTTGCCCTGTCGAGCTGTTGGCTGTAGGGAATCTTTTTGACATCTTAAAGGGAAGGAGGGAATCTCGGTTTAGTGCGTCTATGTGTTTGGGGGTAGAGGGTAAGCAGCCTGTAAAGAGCATGCTACACATCATCTACGGTCATCTGAAGTTTAAAATGCAAGAAAACAGGATCTTCCCTTGAAGCCATGAAGGTGGCATACTGAGGACCTCAAAAGCAGCCCTTAAACCAGTTTTACCTTGCACTGGAAAATCTCAAGCTCCCACCACGGGGATCAGGCTCTGGGCACCAGGGAGTTACCGGGCTGTGGCAGAGTCTACACACCAGCCTTGTCCGTGAAGGCAAAGCCGTTCTACAGGAAGGCAGTTAAACCTGTAACAACTACATCGTTAGTGACACTTCTTCAGCTCTGACTGGATAGGAAGCAAAGCTGGACCCATTTCAAATTAGTTAGCTCATGTTAAGTGCAAGAGCCCCCAAATCACTCCCCCCCACCCCTTACGCCCACTCCACATCGCCCCTACCCCAAAAAAGGTAGCAATCTGGCTATACACATTCCGAGGATCTAGTCTTTATTAGAGCGTTCAATCTGCCCAGCTATTACAGTTTCGTCACAAAAACAAAAAAAAAACAAGTTAAAGATACTCAAGTATGTCAGCCTCGGAGGAAGCACCATGAAGCCACGGTGTTCCCAGAGCAGCATCTCTAGGGAGCGCCTGCTTGCTCGCCCACCTCTCCATCCGTGCATAGTTAAGTATGAGATGATGTTTCACGAGAACGGGCACGGCAATCCAGGCACCTCAGTGAAAGACTGTTTGTGCTCTAGACACCCAACAACTTCAAAGCCATGTTTGACTAAGAGAGCCAAACCCTCAAGACACAAGAGGGTTTGTTTAGAGAAGACATACTTTTTCCTAAGGCCAGCTGACTTTTGCGCACACACACCCCCCCCAAGCTCCATTTCTAGCTAGAGAATGAATTTCAAATGCTATCAGTGGCTCACATGTGGAATCGCGTAGCTGGAAATAGGCTGCTTTTGAAGATAGGACCTGCCCGAGGGCAGAGGGAAGATCTCCAGCCATAGGAGGCTAGAGTCTGGAAGAGGTCTGTCTATCTCCTACAAGGACACGGGCTCCAGCCCCCATCAGGGCAACAGCTGGAGATAACAGACTGGTGAACTAGTTGGTTTGTGCTTCAAAGGACAAGCCTCATCTTCCCAGATAACCCACCTGGCCTCTGGCTTTGTGCATTAAAACCACACTTGCATGCCAAAAAAAAAAATAAGCAGCATTTCAAATTCCCCTAGAAAATACACAATTAGGTACGGTAGCCTGGGGCAGGCTCCTGGACAGATCTTCTGCCTCATCGTTTATGTACATGATTACGTTTTGGCACTGCAGACTCGGGAGCTTGAGTAAATTCATATGTAGGTCTCTTTGGACATCCCTACTCAAGCTCTCGGGATGTCAGCCCCTGCAAAAAAGAAAATAAGGTTTACAGTACAGTTGTGTTTATATTGTTACAGGCACTTAAACAGGATTCTTTGGTCCTTCAAAGGAATTAGCCACTCTGGCTTCTATCTTCAGAAACCACAAGTCTGCACACCCATAACACCTCCCGCACTAAAAAAAAACCAATCCAGATCCATTTCAGGGCAGTGCAGCTCTACCTTAGCGGAATTCTACAATCTCCCCTCACACACCCCCAACCCTCCCCCATTGCCTCCGGAATTCAATAAGCCATCGAGTCTTCCTGTAAACGTCCAAGTCATCTAGCTTCCATAACACTGCACTTCCCATCACAGTGTACAGCAGACAGGCCTCGTTCCAACAACCCCAGGAACAAGACACTCAAGCAAGAGTCCAGGAAGTTTCCTTTTGTTGCAGTTCTAGAAAGGTCTTTTTTTTCCTGCCCCCACAAGGTACCTTGGAGGACAGACCCTGAAGTTTGTCCTGGCTCAGTTACAGGGAAGCCACGTTGGGTAAGACTGATTGCAAGGCAGGAAGGGCTGCACGTGGGTGACATAGTAGTTGAAGTTTATTTCACTGACATAAGGAGCTGGCTGGTAGTAGCAGGTAACGTTTGTGACCGTGGGGATGATGTTCTGCTCAGCCAGGACTCTCACAGCCAGCATGGCAATGAGGTTCAGGGTCTGCCTCCTTTCGTGTCCCATAAGGCAGACTGTGCTCTCATTGACCACCCTGTGGAGGGTCATCAGATAGTCATATCTTTTGCTCTCCATCCCAACAAAGTGGCTCTGGAGGTAGCACTCCAGCTTCCTCTGCTGCTCACCGATGTCGGAGAAGTCTATGAAAAACCTGGAGCACATGTATCTCTGTAGTGCCTTCATATCCACTTCCGATTTGGGCTTAAACCCCCTCACCAAGAGGTTGCAGTATTTCAGAAGCCCCCCACCTCTGATCTCCTCTGGGTTCCTCGTGGCGATGACCCTGTTCCGGAGATGGTCCATTGCCTCCTCGAAGTCCCCGTACATGCTCTCCCCAGTGACCGTGGGGTGGAAGTTCTCAGCCATGGGGTTCTCTGAACACTCCCCAAACAGCAGAAGCGAATCCAGGATGATCTGGAAGGAGTCCACACTGAACTCGAACTGCCGTCTGAGAGAGTCCACGAATTTGAGTTCCACGTTCTTCCCGCTGTTGTTGGAGAGCGATATGAGGCTCCAGCGGTCGGTTTCGTTGCACACCTTCACGAGCTTCTGCACGTACGCCTCCTTCAGAGTCATGGGGGTGATCTTGTCTTTGTTGACACCTTCCGGGAGGAAGTCAAGAAGGCAGTCCATGACCACATCTTTAACAAGCTGGAAGACATCTTCGGTCTTCAGATCTACACCGAAGATGAAAACTAGGTCTTTGTCCCCCAAGCCACTGTCTTGATGTAGAACGTGACTAGCTGCTGAGCCGTTCAACCTTACATTATGGACTGCGATTCCTTTCTTCTCCAGGCGGCTACGGACAACCTGAGATACAAAGAGAGTCAGTGAGAAGCAAGAAAGCATTCTTGGCACAGCCTGGTGACAGCCCTGCGCTTATATGGGTCACTCCAGTGCAAGACACTGAAATAAAGAGCTAATCCATCAGAAATAGGTCACTTTGGAAAGCATCCAGAGTCTTGACAGCAGCCAGGGGTGGCTCTCCTTTACTTATTCCCTTGCATTAGAGGTTCCTTACTGCACACAAACAGCTGTTTCTGCTTCCAGTAGAGCTGTTT